TGGGGGGGTGGGGGGGGGGGCTTTGAAGCCTGCAGCAAAGCATGTGTATTTTATGCCATTATCTATAAAGAACAGTAGATTTATCAAACCAACTCACTCTTGAAAAAAGAAACAACTGCTTGTTACTCCTCTTACCTGTTAGATATTAGTGTACTTCAATACACCAATTCCTTATTTGACCAAGCTGCAACCCTAACAAATTTATCCATTTCCAATGATCTGATATGTAATATTTTTGTTAAATTTTCAATATATCTTATATTTCTCTACCAATGGAATACAAGTGATAGAGGAATGACCATCATCACTTAACTGCTAATGTAGCTTTAGAAAAGGAACCCAATAATACGAGTATTTTTGGAAAGTGGACTGTCACTGATCACAAGTAAATTTCCAAAAGCATTCAGGTTATTTGGTTTCTTTTCTGATCCTAAATTATTTGTCTGTTAATCCTGCATGTTTATAAATTTCATAACTACTAGTGATATTTTTCACTAATTCAAAGTAATTTGGAAACAACTGCTTAAAATACTGAACCTAACATCTGATGAAAAGTCATCTTCCAAATGCACATCGACTGCTAAACTTACCAAATTTCTTTATTACCTGAATTAACATTACATTGGAAATAAAAAGGATCTTTTTAACACTAACATACTCAAAAGACCTGCAAGATGCTTACTTCTAATCTGAGCTTTCTATTGGCATTACCTTCTTTATAAGCATACATTTCAATACTGTTCAATATTTTTCTAAGAACCCACCAGTGAAAGCAATGTATGTAAACTATCTAAAATCTGTTAAGTTTTTAACATCTAATGACAGGACTATAATAATTTAAAACTTATGGTGAACATCCTGAAACATAAATATAAAAGAATTACTTTCCTTACTTCAGTCTTTCTTTTCTTTTTTTGGGTTGAATTATCCGAGTCACTTTCATTCTTTTTCTTTTTGCCATCACTCTGTTCTGCATCAGTATTTTTTCTTGAATTCTCATATTCTGCTATGAGGTCTGGACAATCAAGATGTTCTTCAGGTTCCCACGTATTTTCAGAACTGTTTTGCAAAATATTAAAAATTCATTTAAGAAACTAAATATTTAAAAATAATTTCACAATCAACCTATGGGAATTGTAAATTAATAACAGTTGTCCAAAGCACAAAAATATTAATTTGAAAATTGCTTCATTATCACTGTGCTCTAAACTGAATTATAACTAATGTTATTAATAAGATTTTCTTTTTTCAATTTCAGTGGTATTATATTTTGAAAGTTACTAAAATATTACATTTCAACAACTTTCTTAATCCTTTTGTTTTAATACAATAATGGTAACAATGTATAGTAAAACCAATTTCCTTAAGCCATTTATGAATAGGCATAAACCGGATATTCGATTAAATACCAAAAACTTTACTGAAAATTATGTTTTACTGGAATCAGTGTGGAAACTCTGTTCAAAGTATGCCCATGTGGTATTCTCAGATGCTATTATTTCTCCAAAGACATGCTTTCTTTGTTTATTTCTACTTTGCTAGTACTTCACTTGGGCTAGTATGACAGATTCATCTTGAAAGAAAGTTGACAAGCTGTTCACTGATTTAGTAGAGGTGAACATTTACCTGTCTACACAGGTTTTCACTGACATTTAAATGTGTCTGATGTTTATTTCTCATTCAACTTAAAATTTTGTCATGTTATCAACTACCAAATGTTCTTTTATTTCTAAACTGAATCTGCTGTTATTTGTAGGTTTTCCTGTCTGATACTTATCAGGAAATCAGTTTTACCTGAAAATACTAAACTAAAAGACCATAGTATTATATATATAATTATATAGTGCTATTACTCTCAGAATACGTGTACAACTTACATAAATTTTGGTCACTCATATCAAAACAAAGGAGATTATACCCTCAAAACATCATTCAAAATGCCAGTGGAAAATGTCTATTTACTTTCACACATAGTATGTTCAACTATTTAATTTTTTTTTTAATTAAGTAGATTGAAACTTCAAAACAGCAACAAGTACCAAAATTATTCATACTTATAACACCTCAGAAGGATTTTTATTATACTTTTTCTAATCTTAAAGCTTTCCAAAATATAGAAGTATTGAAAGTGACTTTTTCACATGATAAAGGCTGGAATTTCAGGTACGTTCATATGGAATCAGGACATTAAAATCCATTATAGAGTAGACAATTTGTTTAAATGGGCTTGTTCTAATCATTAATTAAGATAAAAGAACAGTTAATCACTAAAACAACATGTTTGGAAACCAGGTTCATTTTAATTCCAGTGGTCAAGATGACAATGAATGCAAGTTACTGTATACTGATTTGCTCAAAATGAGGAAGCATTTCTTCTATTCTGTTCATCACCATCAGTTAACATGTATATGATCCCAAAGATCATATTTTGATAATGCTTTCATGTGCCAACATCCCTCAGTAAATTGTTTATTATTATTATTATTTACAAATAATGTAATATTGAGGTTAACTCTCACAGCACAGGCTCAGTCCCTGGGACCGACCTCGTAACCATTTTGTGCTTATAATTTTCATGCTACAACTTTTAAAATAGTAAGCACATGTTAACAAAATTTGGCAAATTATCAATAAACATTACAATGCTTTCATATGCAAAATACCAAATTTTTTTAAGCTTAACGTTTGTAAAGCAATGTTTTCTCGTGCTTTTTTTTTTTTCTTTTCGCATGTTGCCTATCCAACATGCAAAGTAATTTTCATTTTAAGATTAAAAATGCTTTTATGCATTAGAAAAT